TCATAAAGAAACTGCTTTTAGAGCATTTTAGAAAGTAGCTGCCATACTTTCTTTCTTATAAAAAGTTTAGTGAACTCATTCTTAACAGTAGACAGTTGGAGCTTAATGAAAAAGCTACTTGGCTTGAAAACTACAAATTGTTTGTACCAGATTTAGTTTACACTTATATACCTCTTTCGACAGTAATCCTCATAACTCTGCTGTAAAAGTAATCTCAACAACTGTTGCATGTCTGTTTACTTCCCTAAACCTAAAATTCCTCAGTGGCTTCATCAACTTTCTACACTTAACATGGTTTCTCTTTTTTTCTGTGGTATAAGCCTCAAGCTTTGTTGACTGATGCTACACATAAAGTGTGTGACGCACTGTAGACTTGAAGGCTTCTGGCTGTAAAACATTTGTATCTTCTCATTCATGAAGAACAGACACAGTGGTCAGCTTGGATTTAGGCTGAACAAAATGGATTCAAACATTTTAAAAAGCCACTTCTGCAGCACAATACACATTTTTTCACCAAAATGTGGCTGAATACACTGTTTCTAAAATGTCAGCCTCTGCTTCCTCCTCCATGTAATGTGTGTAAGCTAAGACTTGCATGTTTAAAGTAGGCATTTAGTTTCAATGGCCACATGTTCATACATCAAAGCAATCTTATGTCATATTTTCTGAACACCAGACTGCTAAAATGTAGTATGCACAGAGAAAAGTCAGGGAGCTGTGGGTTATTTCTTATTAATTCAACTTTTAGGAAGCATTCTTTTTTAGAAAGTTACGTAGTCACAATTTTAAGAAGCTTCGGTTCAGGTAAAATTGGTGTTCAAGCAAATATGAATGAGCAGCTTCTTACAATGGGCGAGAAAGTGTTTGTGTAAAAAAATATATAATATAATATGGAATATTTTTTATGATTAATATTAGTGTAAGCTTACTGGAAATGTGTCTGTTGTTCAGGCCTTTCCTCCAACAGATTGCTATCTGATCATAGACACGCTGTTAAAACAAATCTGAGATGATTCCTGTTTCCAGAAGCCTTTTCCTCCGTCATAACTAATCTTCCCGATGTTGTCCCTAACCCCGGTACTCCACCCATCTTACACACACACATACATACATACATACATACATACATACATACATACATACATACATACATACATCCAGGGTGTCACGGTGGCTTAGTGGCCAATCCTGTTGCTAAAAGGTCACTGGTTTATCTCCTACAACAACTAATGAGTCTCTCAGCTGCTGTGTTGTCTTGTAAGTTTAGGTTTTAGCTGAAAGCAATTAGCTATTTGAAAACAACAGTGGGCGACATCAAATAAGTGAGCCGCCTGCAGATGTAGGTCTTCAGACTTCTGCGAGACACCTGCAGTGTGGTTTTTACACGGGCACACAATGTTCTGAACCAGATTCAGAAGACACCACGAAGTCTTACAGGTTGTAATACAAGCCAGGCATAATCTATTGAAGGCCAAGATTTTGTCATGTTTTCTTAAATTGTGTCAGCGCCAGAAAAATACAGGCTTTTAAGCGTATAGACCCTTTTACATTTTGTAAACATCGATGACCTACACAAGCATGCACGTGCAGTTTTGCAACGGAAATACAGCAGAGTGGAATAGCTTGTCGAGCTATGTAAGGGCGTTAACCACCAATGGTCGCGTATGCGTCCTAAAGTTACTTTCCAGATCTGTGTGCGATCAGTGAGTGGGTAGAATACAAGAGCAACAACAAGCATACAAGTCACTAGATGCTTCCAACTATGTTATCTGTGGTCATGTACAGAATGTCAGACACCATGACATAGACTCTGAGTTTTGAGTTTATAGAGTTTTTTAATGTGGGGATTTAAAAAACGGAAGCATTTTTTTTTATCAGTCCGGCGACGGTCGAGATCCTGTTTGCTGGTGGAATATCGATTCTGACAACCAAACATGCAACAACCAGATGTTTTGATGCTGGTAAAAGATTTAAATTCTAAGTGTAATAGCTGGCTAACTCGCCTGGATGGCTGGGAGGAAAAAAGCCACTTCCGTTATTAACATGCGCACACATATTTTTGATGACGTCGGCTGTAAAAGTATTAATAGTTGGACCAAAACACCTAAAGTCAAGGTCCACTTTGACAGCTTTCCGAATCCTTCCAGAGCATATATAATATTATATAGGATGTTTAGTGTTTTGAAGTCTGTCTGAATGCAAGCTTCTTCTAACTCCACGTTACTTGTTTACAAGCTCTGGTTTTCTTTTGCATAGTTCAGTTCTGAGTACCAACTATAAACATGCAACTGGACCGAAGACGGTGAACTAAAGGTGCAATCACAGCCTTGATGTAGGAAGGAGGAGATATGCCCGGATCACTGCACACACAGAGATACTCCTGATGTGAGTACAGTAAAGCCTACAGAGTAGGCGGTGCGTGCACTCTGACAATAGTGTTTGGCCCTGTCCGCGAGGCCGGACCCCCCCAGCCTAAGCGCTTTTATGTGAAAAGGTTCGGCGTGTCGTAAGCCCTAACGCTGACCAGCCTCTTCTGCAGCTTTGCTGAGCCATGGGGCTCCCAGCATCCCTGGGAGTGCTGACTCCAGCCCTGGGAACATGTTTACCGCTGCCCTGCACCCCACCCTGTGACCTCAGGAGGGGGGGGGGGGGGGGGTCTGTTGGCTCGATTCACACAATGAACCTGCTGAATACTGTGCTATCTAACTGTGCTGGCGACTTGCAGCTGGTTGCCAAACTGGCTGGGCAGGCTCTTGATTGGAGTGCACATGGGCTAACTTGCCTTTTCTTGGCCTCCACCCACCATCTCCTCTTTACCAAATTTAGCTTGTTTTTATTGGGTGTCACAGTTAACCCAAATACCTTCGTAGACAAAGTTTTTGCAGTGAAAATGTGTTTTCAAACAATCATTGAGTAGTTTTCTTCCTATCAGACTTTGTGTCATTTTTTCTTTTGCTTGGGAAACATGTTATTTTGAAATCTCTAGCAGAAACATGACACACAGATGTGCACGTGTGTGCGCTCACACACCAGCCAATATGTGGATGCTTCTGTAATGTGGTTGCTGGCAATCTACAGAGGAAACACACAACATAATTTCCACATCCAGACCTGTTTGTGTTATTGAAGGAAGCTATTATACTGTGATGTCAAATTTACGGTACACAGTGGTGTTTTTTTACCCGGTACATCTCATTTGTAATTATTGACTTTCTAACCACCTGTAATAAACCAGTTATACACCTTTCCGATGAACGTGTTATTGTTAAGCTGGGATAAACAAAGCCATAAGACCTGCCATCCCTTCTCTGCTTCCTCCCAGCGTTTAAAGGAGTCCTTTCTGCTGGGGCCTGATAGGTGGATCACATTATCTGTGGTGTAATAGGCTGCGGTGCAAACCCACTAACTGAAGGGCCGTTGTTGTTGCAGCAGGTCCTGCAGCCATCCATCCATTTCGCTGCATGCTGGTGCCGATCTTTGCAAAGCACCTTCTTCTGCTGGCCCCCTCCCCAGTGCAGCATGGAGCCAATAGGGGGACTTGCTGCTGTATGGAGCTGGCTGTGTGTTGTTGTTGTTGTTGTTCTCACTGAATGCACATTACACAGATGATCACACAGATACCACAAATATGCCTTTTTTTTCCAGCAACATTTGGCAGTGTGACAGAAAACTATATCTAGTAATCCTGCAGGCCGGTCACTCCAATCCATGATTGCTGTAAAGTATTGATTGGAGTGATTAGGAAGGAGAAGCAAGCAAGCAATCACCTTGAATTGATTGCTGCCATTGTTGAGCATGCAGATTGCAATGCTTTACAGTACATTCGATCATGATCAACAGCAGCAGGGAACAAAAGAAGGAGAGAGAAGTGATGATGTTTCCTTAGAGGGGGGGGGGGGGGGGGGGGGGGATTGTTCTATCTGCTCACGTTTTGGACCCCCTCTCTCTTCACGGCTAGCTCCGCCCCCGCGTGCTTCTCCCCGCCGCCATTGGCTTGCCGGGAGGCTGTTTTCGCCACCTGATTGGTCGCTGGGCACGTCAATCACACGAGCCTCGACTTATTTACCGAATGTATGAGCGAGAGAGGACGGTATTCTGCTGTAGGGCTGCAACAGCTGACAGCGAGCACTTTACCCAGTGCTTCAAGGAACAAAGAGAGGAGGAAAGAGCCATTCAGAATACGGGTTCACATTTTTTTTTATTCCCTTCAAATAATCAAAGTGCAGCGAGGACACGCGATGAGGCACGCGGTCGCACCGGCAGAAAACGTGGAAAATAATTATTTTGCCGTGACAGACTTGTTAAAGATATGTACCCATTGTGAACGACTTAGCAAAAAGGTAAGAGAAATGGGGGGAAGAGGGGCTTCAGATATATAACACTGTTTAAAAAAAAAAAAAATCACCGCTTTTAAAGCTTCAACCTGACGTCGGGATTTAGACAAGTGACACATTTCTGGCGTTTTTACGCGACGCTTTTCCTCTGAGCAAACAAGCTGCAGTGCAGTCTTTTGTGCAGGCTTGTTTACGAGTAAGAAGAGTTTGGGGGTCATCGGTCAAGACATCATCTCGGATGAAATTCACTTGGGTTAAGTGACACGTTTAAATGGTTTTAACCCAGTGTGATTTCTGAATAATATACAAGTCGCTGGTCATTCATTTATCTGCTCCATTGTGCGCTGCGGGACGGTGTCCGCTAGTAGACATGTCTGGACAAGCAGCGGAAAGTTACAGAACACATAAGAGGCGATGCTTTCTGTAAGAAGGCAACGTGTGTGTTTAGTTTTATAATTAACGAGGAATCTAAAGAGTTTAATTCAGATTATTTTTTTTGGCATAAATGTATTATGACTCTGCTATTGTATGCTGCTTTCACAACGGAGAAAAACCTTTGAATCGCAATTTTTATTGCAATTTTCTCTGACGGCAGGCAAACACCTTCTTCTCTGCTTTCCTGTGGTATTTAAAGTGAATGTTTTCTACTCATTTTTTGTCTTACAGGACTTGGGAGTAAGGATCCCAAGACCCTTAGGAAACGGACCAAGCAGATTTATCCCTGAAAAAGAGGTAAAAGACTGTAATCTCACCACAGACTTTTAACTCATGCCATCTATGTAAGAAACTGCTTATCTAATGTTTTTTTGTTTTTCTGTAAGATTCTTCAAGTCAGTAAAGTGGACGCCAGGACACAGTCGATATTTGAGGATGCGTTTGCAGCCCTCGGTCGCCTGGACAACATTTCCCTGGTGATGGGCTTCCACCCGCAGTACCTGGGGAGTTTTCTCCGGACGCAGCACTACCTGCTCCAGATGGACGGGCCCTTGTCTTTGCACTACCGACACTACATCGGCATCATGGTACGCCCTGTCCTGTGGTGTCAAACCCACGCCTCGTTTACCTGTTAAAAGTCGAGTGATATCTTGAGGTTAATCTCTCCTTCTCTCATCCTGCAGGCGGCAGCTAGACACCAGTGTTCCTACCTGGTCAACCTCCACGTGAACGACTTCCTCCAGGTCGGGGGGGATCCCAAGTGGCTGAACGGCCTGGACGGCGCCCCGCAGAAGCTGCAGCAGCTCGGGGAACTCAACAAAATCCTGGCCCACCGACCGTGGCTTCTCACCAAGGAACACATCGAGGTGAGAGGACGGACGTGGTCTGGAGGATAGACATGAAAAGTCTTGCGTAACGGGCTGAGATCATGGGTGTAGGCCAGAATATAGCTGCAGCTGCATAACTTGGAAGGATTGGGAAGTTGTTGCAGTAGAGGTACGGTGACGGGGGATTGAGGGAGGGGGGGTGAGGCTGGAAAAGGAAGACACGATAAATTGGTTAGGACGGGTGAACGAATATTTTCTTACTTCCTAAAAGGTCAGTGATGTTATACTTATTTTTCCTTTTTTATTTTGTTTCCAGCGCCTTCTGAAAGCAGAGGAGCACAGCTGGTCCCTTGCAGAGCTCATCCACGCCGTGGTCCTCCTCACACACTACCACTCCCTCGCCTCGTTCACATTCGGCTGCGGCATCACGACGGAGATCCACTGCAACGGGGGACACACGTTCAGACCCCCCTCCCTCAGCCAGTACTGCGTCTGTGACATCGCCAATGGCAACGGCCACGCTAATCACCGCGACGATCCGCTCGGCAACCAGGTGAGTGGTGAAGGATGGTGTGCGTGCAGAGAGCGAGTGCACGTGAGGGTTTCTTTTTTGACTAGTCTGTGAGAGTTAAATCCAGGCAGCAGAGTAATCCCTGCACTCAGACATCCCGTGTGTGGTGGATGCAGCAGCTGAGTGAGGATGCTTCCTGCAGGACTCTTTCTTAACTGTCGACGTGCTCTTTGTTTCCTTAGGAGATGTGTGGCGAGGTGGAGGTGCTGATGGAGCGCATGAAGCAGCTGCAGGAGTGCCGCGACGACGAGGAGGCCAGCCAGGAGGAGATGGCAACCCGCTTTGAGAGGGAGAAGACAGAGAGCATGCTCGTGGTCACGGCGGAGGACGAGGAGTGTGTCCCCTCCAGAGACATCTCCCGACACTTTGAGGACCCCAGCTATGGCTACAAGGACTTCTCCAGGAGAGGGGAGCATGTGCCCACATTCAGAGTGCAGGTAGAGATCAAATACAGTCTGAATAGAGTACAGTGCGCTAAAAAGAAGGGTCTGTGTGACTGTTATTTATTTCTTATTTCTCTGTTCTCCAGGACTACAGCTGGGAGGACCACGGTTTCTCTCTGGTCAACAGACTGTACCCTGATGTTGGTCAGATGCTGGATGAGAAGTTCCAGATGGCCTACAATCTGACCTACAACACCATGGCGACACACAAGGATGTCGACACCAGTATGCTGCGCAGGGCCATCTGGAACTACATCCACTGCATGTTCGGCATCAGGTGAGAAAAATCTTTCTTGTGGTATGATGTAAATGGGATGGGGGGGGGGGGGGGTATATGTAGGGGTAGAACGGATATTCCCATCCAATCAATAGCAGGATGGTCAGTTTGGCGGGCATTTTTATGTGTACTGTTGCCATTGCGACTGCGGTAGCGGGCTAACTTCCGAATAAACTAAACCGATTTACAGGAAGTCACAGACTCACCCCAGAGAAGGAGTTAACTAGCCAGCCGTCTCTTTCCAGCGAGCTGCGACCACTCAATCACTCAATGGCCCCACTGGCGCGTGTTGTCACCATTACAAAATCAACAGTCGCCATTTTTTTTGTACTAGTCAAATGCAAAGACAAGCATTTTAATGTCCGCTCTACTCCTATACTCATTTCCATGGATGTAACCTTTATTTTGTAATGCATGACTATATGCTAAATCAGCACTGTTGCCTAACATTGTGTTGCTCTGTGCTCCTCAGGTATGACGACTATGATTACGGGGAGATAAACCAGCTTCTGGACCGTAGCTTTAAGATCTATATCAAGACTATGGTGTGTAGTCCTGAGAAGACCACCAAACGAATGTACGAGAGTTTCTGGAGGCAGTTTCAGCACTCCGAGAAGGTAAGATCCTGATCCATCCTGGCCTGATGTGAAGCGGCTATTTTACCTGGTTTATTAATGGCCAGTGTTTAATAACTCTCTCTTTCTCTCTTGCAGGTCCACGTTAATCTGCTTCTTATGGAAGCGCGAATGCAGGCAGAACTGTTATACGCTCTGAGAGCGATCACCCGCTACATGACATGAAGTGCTTTTGGTGTTTTTTGTTTTTTTTTACTGTTTGTCGTTGTTGTTTTTTGGGACACTTCAAGAAAGGGTGGGGAAAAAAAGAAAATCAAAGGAGAAGGTGGGGATTCAACAAAAGTGTGGAGGAGACAAGAGAAGCCCTGGGTTGTGACAGTGCTTATTGGATGGGTGTTGAGAAGAGGATCAGAACAAATGAAAGCAAGAAAAAAAACTAAGATGAACTGTTGAAGAAAATCATCTCAAACTACAAGTGGATACACAAATTCAGTTTGTGTTGCCTGCAGTGCCAAAACTGACCAAGAGAGGGCCGCCTGGAGTTTGAGTTTGTGAGGCATCAAGGACGATGTTTCAGTATTCCAACATGCAACACATTTGTCGCCAATCTCTTCTGTCTCCTGGTAGAGTGAAGACCCACCGAGAAGAAAAAAAATATATAAAAACCCAGCAAGCTGTGCAGCCAGAAACAGACTGCACTTTGATTCTGTCGTCACTGTTATATTTGTTTAGTTTCTTTAACACCTTTTTATTTCATTTTGTATGAAGAGAAGTGGATGTTGTTGTCGATGTAGTTGCTGTTAGTGGTAACTGGAGATGGAAGCATTAACTTTGGGCGGTGTTTTTTTTTTTTTTTTTT